TCTTTTAGGCTGGGGGCTCAGCACCGTAGAAATAGAAGACTGTAACGAGGAATTATCCTGTCTTCGTAACTCCGCAAATGCTACTAGAAAATATGATAAACGTTTAGCTTAGAAACACCAGGGATGGTCAAAAATCAAAGGGTTTTTGGCCGATAGTCGAAATAATGATGAGATGCCAGCAGACCTGCGACGCGCTGGCTGTCCCGCACTCCCCATCTAACTTTACCTTTGGTCAGCTCCAGGCTATGTTCCGCAGTCCTGAAAGGCCACCACAGCATGACGAGGAGACGCTGCGGCAGGCAGATGAGTTGTTGGGAAAGCCAAAGTGCAGAACTCGATCAGCGCCTTTGGGCTTAACCCGGTGGGATGGTGTCCAGAAAAAGGGAAAGTTGACGTATTCGCGCTAGCTTCAAAACCCTGAGCACGAGCTCAGTAAAACAGCGTTTTTCGATGACCCATTAGCAAGCTACTTGACAAACTATATGAAGGAACAGTCTACTCAACATGCGCCCAACCAGACATTGTCGTACCATTCCTCGTCCACCCAAATGGAGGTGCGTTCCACATTTGCACCTGCAAAGGCTGATCTACCTTTGTGTCCTTCAAACCGGTTAATGCGCCAGCTGCGCTGCGACGTCTAATCGACAGAAGTGCGTCTAGCCTTACATATTGTAGTAGATGGCTGGCTGCATGAACAATGTCTTAGTGACCAGCTAATACATTAGAGGGTACCTGACGGACCTACGGCGTGAGGCTCAGGTGTTGCGGGACGAGCAGTGGTGTGCAAACGCACGCAGGCCCTCAATCATCATGGAACCAATTCTGTTCTGGGGATTTTGCTTTTCAGCTGTAGGAGCTGAGCTCCTCCAAAACTTAGGTTATCTGGGTCATGTCATTTGCCTTTACTCACTCGCCAGGTGACCGACAAGTCTTTTGAGCTGGCACGTTTCCCTTCGTAAACTTTCTCGGCTTTTCGATCTTCATACTGTAGATACTTTAGGCTGTGGCTTGGACAGCGGAGGCGAAGGCCGCAGCAAGGACGCTAGTCGTCCTGTTTACAACTCCTCGACCACCCGTACTGCCCTATCATAAGCGTCAGCTTTTCCACAACACACTTCTATTAGAGCAGCAAGTACTATTCCCTTCCAACAAATCATTACTCATTGCATAATAATATGATTGCCTTATTAAAAGCCAGCCAGCGCTGTGCATTGCAGGGCAAAGGGGTTTATGTAGTGTGGTGGAAATTGCAGAAAACAATGCCGGCAGTCTCTATATGTAGACCCCTTCACCGATGCTACCACTACGTTAGTATGAACTCAATGCATTCTTCCAAGCTCTATTGTTTTGGTCAACATTGATAGAGACAAAATGCGTCAGCCCAAAGTGCTCAACGGTCTCTAATGCACCTTGCAACAAGTCTTCAGAGCTGTGATAATCCCAGAGTCGTTCGGCGGCAGTACCTTCTGAAGTACAGTGTAGCAATAAAAAACTTCAGGTTATAGCCAACGTGGTTGCCGCCGCATCCTCGAAGCCTCCTGACGGTACACCGCTGTGCAGCAGAATCACCGTTGTCTATGATGATTCACTATTCCGTCGAAATAGCTGGCGCGATGTGTCTTGAATAGCGTTTATTCTCTATCAGTACAAAAGCCATAATGACAAAAGGGTGAGGCAATGCCACGTTGAATATAACTTGCCGCGCTCCAAGATAAACCGTTGAATCTGTCGCATGCACATCCTGACTTCGCTCCGCAGTGCCAATCTTGCTCAAAGCACATGGTTATGCGCATTTAAGTCAATGCCGCGCTTATGCAACAGTGGAAAAGTGTTCCGGTTCGGGGAGATGCAACCCGCGGCAGGGGACTATCCACTATGGTGCCCAGATTGTCAGCTGCTAAAGCCGCGCAATATTGCTACAGCCGGTCTCTTCTTCAATAATCTTCCCAGCCGCTGAGGTCTTCGGACTGATCTTAAATAATAAACTCCACTATCGGGCTACCAAACCTGGTGGTCCGGGGCTCAGTAGCGACCTACTGCAGCCAAGGGTTTTTAAGAACAGCTGGCTGGTGCGCGCGAATGAGTGTCAAAATTCAAAGCTGTAATAAGCGTGAGTGAAGTGTGTGCTTCAATCCTAAATATTTTTAGTCCTGATAGGTCTGAAGGCTGTACGAAGTGCAGCAGCAGGTGACTAGACAAGAAGGCCCGTAGCCAGGTGGGGGGCCCATTTGCAATTGCATAACGAATCAGTGTCCGTTCTTATTTCGTCGATATCCCCTAAAGCTAGATGTGCTGCATTTTGAGTTTTGCCTAGTCAAAAGCTTTTCATATCATTCGCGCACTTGCCGGGAAGGCAAAAGACCAATGTACACGTGGAGGATGTCAAGGGAGCCGTATAGGTGCTGGACTCCGGGACTATTGAGCGCCGAAGGCGCACTAGTTGGGAGTCTAATAAAATGCGTGGGAAATGCACGCTATTGCTTTGTAGAGAAGAGCTTGCGGGCTTTCTAGCGTGTGGAAGAATTTGCTGCTCACGCTCGTCAGCAATTTGGTCTTCTTGGACAGCATTCCTTGCTGTTCCTGGTTGGTCTCTCTGCAGTACGCGTTCTGCCCGAAATGCGTACTGTAATCTACAGGTGGTGCTCTAGGAAGTTCTGCTCCTATCACAAAGGTGTCCTCTACAGCTTGGTACTTAGGCACTCTCAGGCATATTGTTCCGACTGTTTTTTGTGCAGCTTTTGGGGCTCTGACATCAATTATGGTGTCTGCCCAGTCTGGATTCGCATGGATAGTTGCTTCAAGATGGGACGAGTCACTGCTGGACTAGTTTGGACTCTGAGTGCCTCTACCCGTCTTCCTTGTTTTCTACTTTCTCGTAGTAGAAGGCTAATATATTTCAGGGCCCTGATGAGAGCGAGGCGCCGCGCCACCATGGCCGTGTTGGTATGGCCTTTCATTAACTGTTGGCTCGTTTGTTTGTGTTTCTTTATGCTATGTTCTTTCATAGGGTGATGGCTACAGCACTTTCTTCATACGCACTGTTTTGCACGTTTCTGCTTGCCTTATGGGTGCCGTGCCGGGCCAGGAACTCGGCGGCTGTCCTGCACGCAGTTGGTACAACAGTAAGGCATGGAACTTAACTTCATCTCTATTAACATTGAAGGAAAGGATGTAGAAGGCCAAGCTACACTTCGTCACTTTCTAATATAGCAGCTATCTTTAACTAAGAATTAAGAAAGAATCGAAAAACTGGTTAGCCTTCTCAGATCTCCTTCATTGCAGAAGAGCATTAGCTTTTGAGAATAACAACCAACTTCACTGGCATGTGAGCCAGATAGTATGTGTAACTAGATGTGAATGGTTGAACTGCCCATAGGGTGCAGCTGCACGTACTGTATCTGCCCCTCTCTCTTCATATCCGAATGCATAGGGGAGTGGGCAGGCGAAGGTTCCTGTATTATGTCTCTGGTTGACTATACCCCGATGGGTGCCCTACATAAAGCATTTTAAGCAGAAAGTATAGGGGTGTAGTGGACCTTGTAGGGTGATAATGCGCAGTACCCTGAGCACTGGTTTGTAGTAGCAGAGGCGGAGTTCTCACACTCGCGCCTGTAGGCTCGACCATTAGCACTACATGGCTGCAGACCTCGTGCACTATGGTCTCTTCTTGAAACAAGAAAATTAATGTAGTGCCTTCCCAGTCCAGTTAGGATTGAACTGCAAGCTATGGATTTAGCCAAATGGTTCCCTTCTTTTGCTCGGTTTCGCTATTGCAGGAGGATGCCCCTGGGGGGCGTTCATCCAGTGGATTTCAGCACAGAGCTAAATATAAAAAGTAAGATGGGAGTAGTCTTTCATTTTAAAAAGTGCATCTTAGAAAGTAGAACAACAATCCACCCCGCAGCCGACTTTCATAAGACACTGAGCTTTCCATGCTTGCATGCAATGCTGGAATAGCATTGTCCAGCAAAGGCGACCTAAGATATCAGCTGTTGCTAAAAGCAATGCTTGTAATCTTGAATACGTCGAGCTATGTGGCGAGCGACGCCGCACAGCCTACTCGTTTGTAAAGCATCACGCTATCTGTGGGACTCGGAGACTCACGCGCGTCTCTTTGGCTTTACCCGTTTTGATGCGTTTAAACCCCATGTGTAAGGCAATACTTAGCGTGCATATTTTTAGGAAACCTAGTGGAGCATCAATTAGCGAATTCGGAGCAAGGAGAGTTCGCCGGATTCTAGAGTAATTTGCTTCGGGATAACAGGGATGTTCCACGTGCCTACATACAGGGATACGGAGGCGACTAAGCATTACTGTTCCATGCCCGTCAACTAAGAGGCTAAAGCCAAAAGGACTTTAAGGCATCAAGAGGCAAGCTAAGGATTGGAATAGTGGTCATCTGCATGTGGTCACGACTATTCGAGTACCGCGCCCGTCATCCCTTGAGCGTGCCCTGCCGCATCGCACAAGATACTTCTATGTGTGGCCAAGTTCTAGCTGCTAAAACTTTTCGGAGAGCTAGTTGTCTGTCAGGCTCGTTTCTGCCAAGTGGCTGAATGGGTGGTAGTGGAGTGTGCTGCAGGAGGGATGTTCAGGCTGCCGATGAGGCTTAGTCCTTTATGTTTATTCGGGCCACTAAGTTCTAATCATTTGCCGTGTTCAATAGCTTCGTGCACCATGGTGATTCGCATCTGACTACGCATAAATTACGCCAACAAGGAAATATTTACTGAAATTCCGGACTGCAAAATATTCGTGGAACTTTCCCTTGCGGATTGTTACGCTTCTACATGCATCGGATAATGATACTGGTAAAAATATATTGATCAGACAGTTGACGATGAACTTCAAGGTGCTGTAGGATGAGCCCGAAATAAGTAGCCTTGTGAAGATGGAAATTCATACACAACAGGGCAGTCAATACTGTGCGGCCGACGTATAGTTGCAAGAAGTAACATACTGTGTTGTTGTTGATTACGGAAACAGAGAATGTACAGTACTTACTCCCTGGTGGTGACGGTACAAATGTATTGTACGTCAATTTTGGCTATTTCGTATTTCGCAATCCCCTCTTCATCTGCCGAACCCTCCTCATTGCCTGTCTGATCAGATGTTTTTTTCGTCTGCAGATTGGGCAGAAAATATGTAATCAGATTGGTACACCCCATGACTAGTCAGAGCAGCCGAAGGCAAAACGCTGGTATACGCGCTACCGTGTATTATCGCAGTAAAACGAGCTTACCACAGTTAGATGCTGCAAATATAGCGACAGAGAACGGGTTGCAGAAACAAATGCTGAATTAGATCTAAAGTTTGGATCCCTTGTGGGTTCGCATGTACCTGCTGCGTGTACTCCACGAGTACTTGGTTCCCACTCGGAATGAGCCAGGCTCCACGCCCATTAGGTTTGTTCAGTACAAACTCTCCTATGTAAACCGCACCAGTCGGAAGGATCCAGCGCCCCTTCTTTAGCCACCCGGCCTCCCAAGAACCAGAAAGGATTGACCCATCAGAGCAAAAGCGATATGAGCCCTCGCCGTGTTTCTGACCAGCAAACCACTCCCCTGTATTGAGAAAGAACATATGCACACACTAAATACTTTCGTTAATACGCGCGCCAATAGCAAATCTCAGCGCGTTCTGCGTAGACCTGATGAAGTAGGTTTCCTCTAGGATCATACTTCTATCGTATTTGGTTTGTGGTGTATCAACAAGTGAAACAACAATTCTTAGGATTGTTGGTGATATCGAATACTTGCTCCAAAAGGATTGCTACTGTTGTGCTATATACATGGGTATAAAAATAGTACGTGCATTGGACCTATAGGGAGAAAATGCACTTTTTCGTCTCTTGGTTTAGTTCAATTACCTTCATATACGTCTCCATTAGAATAGATCAAGGTGCCATAGGGCTGCCTTTGACCTCCAACAAAATGGCCTATGTATCTAGCGTCACCGCTTGTGCCTGCTTCCCCTGTAAAGCAAACGTAATACAAAACACTCACACATGTGTGAATTGTTTCTGCATGGCTGCCCCAAAAGAAGACTGTTAGGTTCATGCTTAAGGTTGTGAAGTCAGAAAAGAGCGATGTATGAATTCAACGGCTAGATAATGATCTGCCCCTATATACCAGGTGTACAACCAAATGTCCAAGTTTTGTTTATTGCATGAAATAAACATGAGTTCACCTTCACCAGTATCTCGCCCGTTCTTGTACAGGGCCTCGCCAAGTCCGTGTTTTTTATTGTTTTCATATTTACCCTTGAATTGCGAGCCGTCAGCAAATCTGTATTCTCCTGCGCGCCAGCAATAAAAACATATTCTCCTGCCTTTGTGGCGTTGATGACAATGCTCTACCAGCTAAAACGCGCGCACTCTGTGTGGGTGTCCGATATCTCGCACTGTAGACTGCCCTGCTTCTGCCCAGCTCCTGTGCATTAGAAACGAAGGTGAACTTCTTAGATATTTATATAACCAATATGTGTGCTTAATGCATGAGACTAGTAACTTCTACGGATGCATCGGGGTGTCTGCATGCAGCTTCGTGTGCCTTGCCTGCCCCTTGCCTAATCCCTGAGACATATTGGCCTGAAAATCGCTCTGTTCTTCCTTTTTCGTCGATTAGGTAAGTTGCAATGCCTGAGCCTGTGTGTCCTCTGCTGCTGCTGCCCCTTCCCTTTACTGTTATGATTTCAAACTTAGGGGAAGCAGCCTCATCGCTCTCATTGTTCATCATATCCGAAAACGTGTACTAGTTGACAAATAAAAATATTGAAACTGCCTAGAATTGGCAGCTATGTTAGTGCTGTATCGTAGTACATGGAAGCGAAGGTGCATGACCAACCACGGCCGACATATGCACAAGCCTGTCACCGCTTTACAGAAGATTGAAGTAAGCGATTTGAGACATTGAGGGCCTGTCTAGAGCCTTGTGCATCGTTTCGCTCATGCAGTGGTGTGAGGTATTCGTTTTATTTATACCCGGTTGCCTCCGGAACGGGGCTGAAGTGCCTGGAACGAGGCGTGCAGCCGGTGGTATCGAGTTTAATCCATTATTTCTGCTATTCTTGGGTCAGCTACTATTCTTAGAGCTATTTGTTTTGAGGAAGTCCTTTTACATGCTAATAGTTAATTTATTCGCGAATGCACGAGCACGTGCACAGGAGCGTGACGGGACAGCGCTCAGCACCACATGGATAGTTAAGCAACAGGATTGACATAAATTTATTTAAATCTTTGCTCGATATATGTTTCCGAGACACTTCGTAGCCTTTCATGCAGAAAACTAGTACATAATGTTTGCTTCTTATTCGATTCCTTCTTTGGAGGTCACTGCTGATATTTTACCATGGATTACTGAGAACTCACTGTCGACCTGGCGGTGCAGCAAGTTCGGCGCTCTGGAAAGGATGTACACTATGACTAAGTGGATTCCTGTACTATCTAGGACAAATTACGAAGTAGCATCATGTCTACTGATCCGATGGCAGGCTAGTTTGCTGGTGGCTTTCCACCAAGCTCTCGTTCTAAGTGTATTTACGCGCTTTTGATTTTCGAAAAAAGACATGTGCACCACATTCTGATTGTTGTGATAATTCAAGCGAGAACGACCATGTCAAATGTGACTTCACCTGCGTGCTGGGTCTGGGTTTGACTCCAGCTGCGCAATTACGTCATTCCTGCATACTGCCAAGGGCCAAGATCTGTGTGCTGCTGGTACGGAGCTGTGGTCCATCCCGCATCTTCAGGAAGCGTCAGGCTGCCTCTCGCAGACGGAAGGTATTGCTTACCATTAGACCCACCTGCGTCTTCCGTCATCACAGCAGAGGGTCCTAACCCTCCGAAAATGCCCGATGCACTTTCCGGGGCCCTGAGTTGTGCAGCACTAAGCTCCTCATTGAAAGAGCCACTCTGTAGGCGACAATCATTTAGCCCCACCCTGTCCAGGGCCTGCTGTAGCTGCTGAGTTGGGATTTGTTCGTAGTGCTGGAGCTTTATGGAGGGCCTTTGTCTATTAGCTTGCTCAATCTGGATTCTATATGGCTTAGAAATGCCTGTCACATGCGTATCCATGCCCAGCCTTGGCGTGAAATCCGCCCCCGTACCAGCTACTGCAGCCTGGATAGCCGAAAGCGGAACCGAGGGAGCGACGATGGGGGATTCGACAGGAGTCCAACTGCTGACAGGAGGAAACACCGGACTCAGCTTGGTCCCCAAAGGAGCATTTCTTGCTGGATAGAATGGAGACTTTGGCTCGGGTAATGCTGGATCCTGCTCTGATGGAATCGCTTCTTCCCCGTCCCCAGCCAGAGCTGGCTGTACGGTGCCTATTTCTCTCTCCGTAATGGATTTTGATTTTTCTCGTGTCTCGTGAGCCGATGCCCATTGCGTACAAAATCTAGGTTGTTCTTTATGCCGCTGAATATTTCCTGCTTGCGATTCATCTGGAATCCTGACTGGAGAGGGTATCGAGGTAGACGCAATTGGAAGCTGGCTGGGCAGTGGTTTGTTCAGCGTTATTGGATGCGGCTGATGGGGATACTGGGTATCTCCGCTGTCAACTGTGTAAGGCAAGAGCTGTTGTGTTGGTGCTTGCACCTTTGGCTGTAACAGAGGTATATTGGCCACTTGTCCTCCATGCTGCATTAGCAGCTGGGCCCCGTTAAGTCCCCGTGCAAAGTTCCTGCCATATCCGGGAAGAGGCTGCTGCAGGGAAGGTGTAACACTTGAGGGGGTCCAATGCTGAGGCTCGTTTTTTAACGCGCCACCTGGTACACCGGTTGTGTGTGGAGCTAAGGGGCACGTCACTGAAGTGATAAGAGGCTTACTAGAAAAGCGCTGCTTAAGCTGCTGCAATTTGGCTTTTACGGAAAAAGCTCTTGGCGGCTGCGGCGGTTTGTGTAGATGGTAGCAGCATCCGCCTACGTGTGCAGCAGGCCAAGGTAGGTTAAGGCTATCGGAGTTTTGGGGGGCATTGGATGTATTGACGCCCGATCGTGGACCAGCAGCTGCTGGCTGAAGCAAGTAATTGGCCAGCTGGCAGGATAGTGTTCCTGGTGGTAATTCAAGCTGCTTTTCTACTTCGTCTGGCGGAGGCTTGTTGTTGTGCCTTAGTAGTTCAAGAAGCTGACTCCTAGCCATAAACTCTCTGTAAATGAACGAACATCAAGCTAGTACAAATTAAAAATACGGGTGGAAGCTGGTCAGGGCAGCTTACATGCTGATTATGAATGCCGTTACTCATGAGGCAATCCACTGCAGATGTCTACCAATAATTGAAGCAGTACAGCAACTTAATATACTGTAAGATGCAGCAGCCACGGGTGTTTAAAACCTTATGCACTTCGTCACAGCAGCTGGGCTTGCCTATGTGAGTACATCAGGAGGCAAAGGATCGCTCTGCGCATTTCCTTCCCAGCTTCAGGTCCAGTAGCCGTAGCAGACTGAGGCATCGAATCGAGAGAAAGACTCACGCCAGGCTGTTGCTCCATGGCACTACTTTTGCATTTTCTGTCTTTGCATATCCAAGTTGTTCGCCTTGATGCGCTTCTTAAAGACTTGGAAGCTTCCAAGGGCCGGTCTGCCTTGCGATTATGTTCCCTAGAGGGTGATTTAGGTACGAAGAGACCGCTTCGCTTTTCTGCTTTGCTGCGGCAGCTCTGGCAGCCACTCCCGCTACTGATTGCTTCGTCGATGCGCCAGATTTGTCGCCTTTTGGGGCATGAAGCCTCAAATTTGGCATTTGTTGCACCATCACCCCAAGTGCAGGCGGAGGAACTAGTGCAGGTAACGCTGCGTTTGCTGCTATCTGAATTTGACTCTGCATACACCCTAACAAGGAGAAAAAAATGAATGTGCCTTGAATGCACAGAAATTGCGCACCATGGTGATACCGGAAGCTTGTGCTAGTTTTCGCAGTACAGTTCCCCGCTTCTTTCGGCACGCCTCTGATGCTCATGGTGGTGCTCGTACGTAATGTTTCTACTCATGCACAATGTATGAGTGCTCATTCATAGATGCTTCAGGCGGTATGGCTAGGGCTGTCATACATCCGTGGAACTGAACAAGGCTGCATGGATATCAAGAACTGAAAGCGTAAATTCCTAAAGATGACACCCTGTAGCTTTTTGGGATGTTTGGTCGCTTGAGGCACTTGAAAAATCAGGCTTCAATCTAAGCCGTGTTATAGAGGTTCCAAGGATGTATATAATCAGGCCTAGGGATGGGGGTGTTGATTCAGAAACACTGACCAGAGCGACTAGTGGACGGTAGTGATGGTGTCTGGGAACGCGGTGTTGGTCTCGAAAGCTGTGTACGAAACGCAGTACAAAGTCACAACTTGCCACTATTCCTTTATTTACTTTACACATTCTCACGTTAGCTAACTATGGCTTCGAGGTGCCAGGGCATAGTGGTACAAACTGCAGCCTTTGTAACAAGACCGCATGCCTTTCGTTGGATCACTCTCGACATGTGTGACTCCGCTGCTTTCCTTCTCCAACTTGCCTGCAACCATAAAACGTTACGTAATGTCAGGAGGGGCAAAACACCAACATACTTAGCAAATTTTTTCTTGGATGCAAAGATGCTTACTTTATAAATGCCAAGTCAATCTGGGTTGGGGGTTTTAGTAATTTTGGAGTCCCCTGGCCTTCAGGTGGGTTCGCACAAGGAGGCCAGATGATCACCAACCTTCGAGTTCCTTTGTGAAGGCGCCTTTAGTTCGTTGAGGAGCATCAACGCAGTGTCACGATGATGTGCCGGCTAAAGGAACGCGCAGAGCAAGCTGCATTATGTCATATTCAGTGACGCATACAAGTCCTTTTGAGCTCGAGAATAGGGTGTGACATAGTAACGTTGGAAGAAGTAATGTTAGTGGAGCTCTGGACTCCGTATACTTCAGCACAATGTTATAGTACTGTATCGGCTTTCAAACGTGGTGTGCACTAGTATCTGCCTCTTGCCTTTATGCTCTTGAGTCTGTGTTGAAGTTCCAACAATTCGTCTTTGAAAGAGTCTCTTAGCGTCTGCAAGGATCACAGTCACTGTTGGATTGTGCCACACAAGTCAGCTTACTAGCGCTGTGATATTTTTGCATGCAACTGAGTGCCCGACTATGGGACCAGAACACCAATCACAAATGGAAAAATCAAACGACTTTCTGTGCCAGGAGCGTCATCAAGGACATCGTAGGCGGAGCCCACCTTAACAGCTTCCTGTATCTCTTTCTGAACAAGATCCTTTGCATCACCAATCGTTTTATGCTTTTCATCTAGAGTATTGGGCGTAGAGCTCTTTACCCATGACTGCTGGCCAGCAGTACTTCCTGCTTGTGAGTCATTATTACCAGCCTGTTGGGAAGCCACTTGTGCAGACTGAAAAAGCCCATGGGTTGTAAGCGGGACTTCAGAGGCCCTCAACGCTGCTGTGCTAAGCATATTGAACTGTTGCTGCAACAGTTGTTGTTGTTGTTGCAGGGCTTGCTGTTGTTGTATAAGTTGCTGCTGCTGTATCAACTGCTGCTGCTGGTGTTGCTCTAGAAGTCCTACCGAAGGAGCTAGGGGGCTGACTGCAGCAGAGTCAACGGGTCGTATGAATGTTTTAGTACCACGCATGGACATGCCTGAGGGCTCAAAGCGGGCTACACATGCATGTGCACCATCCGCCCTGTGCCTTTTCTGAATGTGCCTCTCCAAATAGTATGAGTTAATGAACTTCTTGCCACAATCTCCACACTGTACCAGTACTCCAACCATGACTGTTCCATTATCTGGAGTGGAGTTGCGAGTTGCGTTCTCCGACGCACCATCACCAGCTAGCCTTTTAGTTGGGGACACCACAGGCTTTCTCTGATGATCTCTTGAATTATCCTGCTTTTCAAAAAGCTGATGTGACCCTTCTGTTTTGGACTCAGGAGGATCTGGGAGCGGAACACTAGCTGCTGAAGGTAGGGCTTCAAAAATAGGTACACCCTGATGGCTAGACCCTAGCGTAGCAGCCATCTCGTCGAAGACTTTCCAGGCATTCCTGTTTGCCTAACTTCCCCAGTTCCATCCAAGTAGAAATTAACACTTTGAAACAAATATCATACAAGAAGATGCCTCCAGTCTACGGAGCCAGGTGATGCTAAGCAGGGTGCACTGCCCACTCGCTGGAAATGTGTCTCTTCAAAACTTTGAATGAGAAGACGGACTACGGCGTTGCTGCAGAATGCAAGGAACAAATCAATGGCTCAGAGCCTGTAGTACATCGTTTACCAAGTGCCAGAAAATCCTTAAAAGACCTGTAGCAAGACAGTTATGCCTTGGTTTTCTACGTGTCAGCCTACAGGAATTTGAAGAAAAGGCACTACTTCATAACTTTGCCAGTCCAGGGAAATTCGGTAGATCTTTAGCACACAGTTTATTGCCCAATGTCAGACTTCACACCCGGAAGTAACACAATACGCTGACGAGGCACTTCCCACGCTTGGCAGAAGAACGGATCACCCACGTTCCTCTTGACGCACCGTGGCAGCTTCGGCTGCTTCCATCCTCAAATGGCAATTAAAATTCCTGATACACTAATTAAGTATAATGTAATACGGTCTTAACACTGAGATGAGGACAGAAAAGGCCTTGTCTGTGCCGCCCAGATCTCCACAGAAGCGCGCGGGCGCCCACATCTACTCATGTGGAACGGCCAGCAGCGTTATGGCACAGCCAAATCCCCGTAATCTGCAGCATAGACATTTTAGGTACCCAAGTATGCAGGAGGTTGTGTACCGAAGGACTCACTATACTGGAGGCCTTGATGGTTTCTAGTGTAGCTACAAGACGGCTCGGGGCTGCTACGAACGCACCACCACTCCTCAGCAAACTACGGCAAGTTTTTAGAGAAAAACGTAACGGAAGAGGCTAAATGCAAAGCGAAAAGAATCTAAGGCCCAAATGTATGACAAATTTTCCCATAATGCTTTTTCCATCGTTTACATCATGCCTAACTGCAAACGGGAGTGCGTGGATACGGCCCTGCGATAGCTATCTTGGTCCATTATAGCCTATATGATATTTCCTCCAGCACATTCTTTATTTATCATTCGACCATTCTTCCACTTATTATTCGAAGTCTACAACACTAGCATGCAGCGGAGAACATGGTCTACGCGAACTGATCAAGTCCGAAAAGTGGGTGGATGGCACCAAAGGCTTTCCATGTATTTTCAAATGTGAATCCTCTCATTGAGGTTTTTCCTCCGCGTATATTCCAAACAAACAGCCAGGACGGTGGCTTGTGGGATAGTTGCAGGCGCTGCATAATTTTAAGTCAATCTGCGGTACACTTCTTCAGTTTCTGAGCAGTGAATCTGTAGCTTTGATAATTGAAATTTGCTTAGGAGGGACTTGATTAGGAGACACCGGTACTGCGTCGTGCCGTAATTTACCAGTAGGCGCACGGGTAGGGAAAGGAGGGTGCTAATTTGGAAGGACACGTAATTAATTTCTAAGAATTCTTAGTGAGTCACCAGTTAAGGGTTTCTCGACGGACACCTTTTCTTTTTGTGTAGTCAATACGTTGGTTTCGTTGCTCCAGCGTCTATTCCAGCATGCGGAACTATCCAGTGCAAATTGTCGCGCTGCTACTTGTGGTGGGCCAAGCTGCACTTTGATATCTTCTAATTATCTAGTTAGATGTAATCAAAAATTGATAAGCGATATATTAATAGCTTTGGCCTTCCATATGCATTATTTGTTGCGGAGTAGCGTTAGCTGAATCCAACAAGAGCGCGTGTTGTGTGGCTGTGCGCTAGATGCAATGCAAAACTAGCTGTGCGTGTTTGGAATGCTTAAAGAGTGCAGTAACATGCACATTAGCAGTGCCTCTCCCCTCATGGCGAAACGCTGAGGGGAGCAAGTAGGCAAAAAGGGGGTTTAATCTGGTCGGAAGTACTTGAAGTAGCTTTTTACGAGGCGTTTACTTTGAGTCTGGTGGTAAGTTCTTCCCCGACGCAGACCTTAGATGAGCGTTGCACATGAAAGCACCGCATGGCTGGGTGCAGCTGTTTCTCCGTTGATATACTAGGGTTGCATAGAGTGGCAGGGCAGGGTCGACAACCGAGGGCCTTTAGTGGCACCAACAGGCAATACGCTAGAAAGCATCTCCAAACAGGCGCTGCAGGCATGCCAGCTAACTGCTAGGCAATTGTACCGCATCCGTTTGCAGAATCGGCCCCACAACCGCATCCAGCACTTAAAATAGCTTTCGCGGATGAGTTTCTCTGTTATTACGGGGCTTCTCAACAAGAAGTGTTAGCAAGCGTCGAAGTGAATTTGTCACTATATTAATGACCTTGATGCAATACGGGCAGTAAACCCTGCTCTTCCCTCACTTGAGTTTCTTGTAATACTGCAGAAGGGGGCCCTACTGGGTTATTGGCATTCTTTATTTTCAGTGTTGAGCTTAGTCAAACAGCAAGATTATTGTAAATATAAAATAATCATTATGCATGCTGTGTCCTTTATATTCCGAGGTGTTTGTGGTGGGTCGTGCTGAACAGTAAAATATTATGCGTTGCATGCCTGTTGGGATGAGGCCATGAACGGTCTTTCCCTGAAGTTAGTCCGAGCAGTAAGCAATTGATATAGTGAATGGTTGAGAGCCGGGTTACCTGGAGCTACGTAAAAATGACGTCGCTCAGCTTACGCGTTCGAAAAGCGTCACGTTGTCTGCGAGGCTCGAAGGCTCACGCGAGTTCCTTTTTTACCCGATTTTTCGCGCTTGAACCACATGTGTAAGGCGACCTTAGATTACTTTTTATTTATATACTGGAGGCACGAACCAGCAAGTTAGGAGCAAGGGGAGCTCGCTGGATTTTAGAGCAATATGCTTTCGGGACCAGAGGGATGTTCCACATGCCTAGATATGGGGATAGGAAAGCGAGTAAGAATCATTTTACAATGCCAATCACTTTATGGGCTAAAGTCAAAGGGTCTTCAAAGCATCGGGAGGCAGTTCACGGATTGGGATGGTAGTCCTCTGCATGTGCCCACGACTGCTTTACTGCACTCGTTATTTCTTGAGCAAGCCTCACTTACTATGTGTGAAGACTTCAAGTTTAGCCGAGTCCGACTTGCTATAGCAATTTGGAGAGCGCGCTGTTTGTGGGTTTTCGCTTCTGCCAAAGACATGTTTTGATGCTACTGGCATGTGCTGCAGGAAAGAGTATTCTGGGTGTTGGTTGGGCGTAGCCCTTTCTCATCCTTCGAGGCTTTCAGTCATAAGAGTAGATTATGCTTTACAATTTCACAAAGGGGTGCGTAACGCGGGCTGTGACTGAGTGTGGCGATTCCAGTTTTCATGAACTCTCTGCTTAACCTTCCTGAAGCCCACGCGCACTTTATATCCCTCAGCTGCTCCCAGGACAGCATTCTAACTTGTAAAGGTTTCACCGGTCAGTTGTTTAGTGACTGAGTCGCTGCCTATCCTGGGACCAACTGACGTGACACCGCCGGTACACCTGAGACAAACCCCTGATGAAGCAGCCATTGCTTTACTTTGAGGCTTTAGCAAACAAAATTATACATTTCGAGATACTGATTTACTGGTGGGTATCCCTACATTCGCTCTCTCGACTCATTAATCTTGCTGTTGAGTTTACCTCACCTTTAATCGATGCATAAGGGTTCAGAAGAAGGCTTGAATTGTACTTGTCCCTGAAGGTAGGGCACTTCCTTGAAAACCAGTGCCACTAATAGAGTGAGTTTATCCTTAATAAGCATGCGTCAAGTAGCATCCTTATCTGTTCATCCCGGGGGCTCGAAGCGAGCTACATCTCCAACTGCCTAGTGAGATCTTGTGTACTTGTCATCCTTACAGCCTTCATACTTTCTTTGTTGGCATAAACTCATCGACGAATCCATTGCCTCTTTCTCAGCTTTTTTATGAAATCACTTCATCAGATGTTGAGCTAATGTGTGACATCGTCCTGCAGACCTACCTGTGCGGCCCAGACGGGGAGAAAACCCTCCGCTAATGAAAGTTGACGGTGGCACAAAACCTCATCCGGTTCCCGCGAAGATCAAGCGATTGACATACCACTTAGCTAAAACTTGATAAGAAAAGGTTTTGGGCGGACATGACATTTCTCTGTATCCAGAGAAAATGGATGAGCCGCGAAGAGCCACATCGAACCATGCGCTAAGCCATCTGTAACGGTTCTTCTGAAGTCTCGTAGGGAGGCAATTAACTGGGCACACAATACAAAAACCACAGAAAGTCATTGAGCTTTAACCGAAAAAGGTCCTTTTTCCTTCTGCCTGCCCCTCTCGGGGCTCCATACATGAGGGGAGAGGGACACCGAGGTGCTCAGAGCTGCACCTAAAAAAGCATATTAAGCTTGCACAGCAATTTGTGCATAACATCTATGGCACGCGCACAAAATGGTGTTGCTTCTTGCACCGCGCTTCAAACGCTGTAAAGGAGGATGACATACAACAAGGCGAACCAGTCAGACAATTCTAAAATTTATAGCTCGATATTACTAGTATAGTAGAAACTGGTCATGTGTAGCTTAGGCCGCTTTCACTCAGGGTTGCTGATGTACCGCAGAACTCAAAGATTTGCAAGGCCACAGCAGTCAAATGCTGCCTAAAAATGGCATAGGGTCCTATTAGCAGGATTCGAAATCTCTTTGTTGGACCGGGACACCATGACCTAACTATAGGATTACCATGTGTGGCCCAAAGGAAGGAGCATGCGGCCCCAGCTGTGCGTTGTGGAGGTAATGTGCCAGTAAGCGATAAAGTAAAAGAGCTCTCCGTGTTTTAAACGGCCTAGCTTCCGGTGAGGCAGAGTCCTTTCGCAGTCAGCTCGGTAACATAGTACGAGAAGACGGCTAAGCATGCATCTAGTCTTCGTAGCTCTGCATCAAAACTTTTTCCATGCAAAGCTTCAGCTCAGGAGCAATAGGAATAGACATAATCAAGGACTGTTTCGCGGTTGTGCTAAACAATAACGGGGTATT